TTACATGCTTTGTCCCTTTTTTTTTAAAGGTAAATTACACTGATCTCCCATGAGGTTTTATCAATATACAGAGACTTAATTTCTTATTTGTCAAATTACACAGACCTCCCCTATCAGAAATGTAGATTGGATGATGTTAACTATTATTGTGTAATTACATTTCTGTCCTTATTATATATATTGTACTTTATTTCAAAATTTCAAAGGCCAAAATGCCCATCTATATTTATTATTACTTTTCAAGTAGGAAAAAAATTAAAAATAAATTACTTTTCACCTGCTATTAAACTCGTTGACTGCTTATCTCCATCTCCACCTCCATCTATTCTCTTTTTTCCATCTGCATTTGTATATCATTTTGAGACAAAAGCAAACATAGCTAGTCAGCTAGTAATATATAGATTGAATTTTGGTGGTGGTAAAGATCTCAACATTTTAATTTGAGGATTTTGAACTTCTTAATGATGTTGAAACATAAAAAATTCATGTAAAGCCTTTAAACTCACATGGCGTGATTCCTTGACTTGATTTACAGAGAGAAAGAAGTTGCTTGTTTTTACAGAACCCCCATTTTTGTTTTCATTTGAAAGCAAAGAAAACCTTGAAAAAGGTGTGTGCTGCTGATGCCGAAAATGAGGTGCTCCCAACTAGCCAATAGTACATATCATGGCATATATCTTCTCCTAGTGGCTTAAACTCAGGAAGAAGGAAAAAAAATTGAAGTCCGTATGCTAATGAAGTATGATTGGAAAATAGGCTTTAGACACATTCGCAAAGAGGTTGTTCTGTTTTAACATGAATAGTCCTACCAAGCTTCATCTTTTTCAATGTGTTGGCCGAATAAGATTGGTTTATAGATTATTTAAAATTTTTTTTTTTCTATTATCTTATACCAAATTCCTTGGATTCATCTTCTGCCAAAAATTATTAGTATACAACTATATGTTGTGTATATATATATATATATATATATATATCTTGTGACATTCACTTTCAATTTTATTTTATTTTATTTTATTTTTTGATTCTAGGAATTTGGTAAATAATCAATTTTCTTACCAAAACAGATTCATAGTAAACTTCTTCAAACAAGACCTAATAAGATGTAACTAAAGACAGTGAGTTGTAGACCTAAAACTTTTGCTTCAGGTACAGCAGTGGTAAAAGTATAATATAAACGTTGGAGGGTATTGATGTATTTCCATTTTTCAAGAAGGGTAATGAAAAGGGTATTATTGGAAATTTTGATTTAAAAAATGCTTACATTATTATTAACTGAGTTGACCACTAACGGGCCCTTAACAGAAGGGAACCCGGGTGTTACAAAGATACAAACCTTAGGGGAGGTCGATATAATTTGGTAAACAAAAAGGGAGGTAAGTGTATGTTGGCGAAACCTCAAAGGAAGTCAGTGTAATTTACCCTTTATATATAACAAATATATTTTAATTTTGGATAAATTACACTCACACCCCCTGAGGTTAGGTCATATTTCAGTTAGATGAAAATTTTTGTTTTAATTTTCACTTATATTTGAATTAGTGGTTTAACATTTCACTTATATCCCAAATATCAATTTTTAGTAAAAAAATGACTATGCTATCCTTTGATCATGTGTTGATTATTTTTGTAACCAAACTACCCCACGTATACCAATGCCCAGGAGAGAAAGGAATATCCACATCTGCAAAATTCTTCACACATAAGCCATCTTCTCTCTCTGCACAGACCTATCTCGGTGATACCAATCACCCTTCGTCACCGTCAGCGTCATGATTGGCACCATTTTCTTCACCTCTGGCCTAGCAAACCAGAGACAACAACCACAAACACAAGAAGACCACATCAACAACAACAACACAGACTCCCTAGCTCTCATCCTTACCGGTGTCACCTACGACCGTTCAACCAATTTAACTCCGGTAATTGTCAAAATTTACTACTTGCCCAAAAAAATATGTGTCAAATTTAAGTAATTCACGTATCAAAATTAATTAGTAATTTCAGCTATTATCATAATTGCACTCTAAGTCACGGAGCTGTGCTCTGTCAATTCTGTTACAGTCTCAGACTCGTTCACTCTGACTATTCAGATCAAAATTGTATCTCAAATCAATGAAATTGATAATCCTAATTTCAAAAATTCTACAGAAATATATGCTGAAGAAAGCATTGATAAGTAAAATCAATGCAATTAATGAGGTTAGGTTGAACAACTTCACATACATCTGCATAAGCTAGCTTTAAAGGCGAAACCATTAATTACAATCTCACATCACACTATCACTATCTTTCGTCATGCAGATAACCTCATTCAAATCACGCACACAAATCAATTCGTCCAAAAACTTTTGTGGAAACAAAATCGTTACCTTGCTCTCATGTGTATCGTAGTGAAGAAGAATTGAATAGCTTTGAAACTCAGAGAAGGAGAATTGTTTTCTGGCTGCCGAAATATTGATTTTCCGCCATCACCGATAGACCCAACCCATCAACCAAACTCATCACCTACAGACTCAACCCATCAACCAAACTTCTTCATCCTTACCGGCGTCACCTACAGACCTAACCCATCAACCAAATTCCGGCGGCAAGCTCTCATCAACCAAACTCCGGCCACTACACCTATCCAAATTCCACCGCCGCTGCTTCCCTGTCACCCTTCATATAGTGAGGGAGGGCTTTGACGCTGAACTGTGCAAAGGTGGGTTGGGACTTTGCGACTCGGTCCGAGATGGACTCGGAAGTGATAGTGTTGAAAAGAGTGATGAGAGTTATGAGGAGGAAGATGAGATGGTTCAAGACGATTGCAGAGATGTGAGAGTGCAGAGAGGGAAAGTTTGGAGGAGAGAGAAAGTGGTGAGGAAATGGGTTTGCTGCTTTAGGGGAGTATGTGTGAGAGAATGATGAGAGAAGGTATTGATGTGTGCGACGGTTAGGATTGCTACGTGGTGGTCTCGGGCTACGTGTACAAACAGTGTGTGTGTGTGTATATATATATATATATAGGCAAAAAGATTAGATATATTTTGTATTAAAAATTTGAGGGTAAAAGGGTCAATTCACAGGCAAAAAAGTAAATTGGGGTGTAAGTGAAAGTTAAAACTAAAATCTTCATCTAACTAAAATATGGCCTAAACTCAGGGGGTGTGAGTGTAATTTACCCTTTAATTTTTTCCTTGTTACTTGCAAAATAAAACAATCATTTCCATTATTTTTCTTTCCATTGTCTTTTCCAAACACAATATATATAAAATTGATACTATTTTTTTTTTTCATCTTTATTCCATTAATCAACCAAACATGTGGAGAGATTAATTTTACTATCATTTTTTTTTTTTCTCTCATAATTAATTCTACCCTTCTTCCTTTATTTCCCCTCATAATATACAAAATATCATAATATATATATATATATATATATATATATATATATATATATATATTAGAACACGTGTATTGATCCCAGAACATACGCACTGTTCAAGTCAGGAGTGTGGTTCGAAAGCGAGATCTCAATAATTTATTTCCCAGATCTTTGCTAACGCCACTTTGTCCCTAGGGGCGTCATAAAACTAGTTTGATAGAGTAATTTTCAGCATATCAGATAATTTGTGTTTATGTGTATTGTAATTATAAGAAATTTATTGGTTCTTAGTTACTTAGAATGTTTGAACTATAAATATATGAATTCCTCTTATTTTCAAGGAGTATATGTACACAGGAGTTATAATTTTATGTTCATATAACCTATTTGAAAAAAGTCTCTGCATCTCAATTAGGTTACAAATTAATTGAGTTGTTCATGAATAACTCAAGATCAACATGTTTAAAACTCGATTTGAATTTGAACTCATTTAATAAATAAGTCAATATCAAAATTGTTAGGTTCGAATTACATATATCGTGAACACTAAGCACTTGTAGGTGCACAAATGTTCTCGGACATGGGCTCATGAACATATTCATAAGCATAAACATGTTGTAAGCTTGGATGGGTTCACGAATGTGTATTCTTGAATACTATTATATGATTTGATGTTATTTATTTATTTATTTTATTGGTAAAATAATTATCTAAACGTTTAAATTTAAAGAAAAATTGGGATAGAGCAACAAAAAAAACAAAAACCCCTTGTGTAACCGGACTAGACACTTGTCTTATAACTCAAAAAATTGCTGTATACCATCCTTATTAACTTCCCATTCGGATGAGAGTGGGAACAATCTGTCTAAAACGAGAAAAACTTAGCTGTGCCAGTTGCACCGTTTAACACCCACACGTGAATTACATGGACGATCCCAATATGTCCGTCGCACCGTGCAATGGGCGTAACCAAATTTTTCGCAACCTCTAACACCCGCTAATAGCGAGAAAAACTTGGTTGTGCCTGCGACGGGCGTATCGGGACCGTTCGTGTAATACACGTGTAGGTGCGACAATAAACAGTCCGATATGCCTGTTGCACGATGCAATGGGTGCAACTGAGTTTTTCTCGCTAGTAGCCTAGTGTAACAAGGGAGAGCACATCGAATCGGGATGAAAAAGTGAATGATATATTGATTGGTATGCAACACTACCAAATAATTTAAATTTTTGGGTAAATGGATAAGTACCTACTTGTTACAATTGCTATCAGAGTTAAATCCAGTTATTGATCCGGTGCCACGCCAAGTGCCCGGCTCGAAAGGCGTCTGAGTTTGCAACCCGAATAGGCAAGGTGGCCCGAGTCGCAATGAGGGAATTGCGAGTTCGGGTGAGTGAGAATGTAACAAAGGAGAAAGCTTATCCACATCGGATCCGGATGAAAAAGTGAATGAGTATAAATGAGTAGGTATGTATCACTACATAATAATTTAAGTTTTTAAGTAAATATGTAAATTCCCACCCGTTACACCTAATAGCTACAATTCTATAATTGTCGGGGTCCGAAAATCTTTTGCTGGGCGGCCCAAGCCTATAGAGTACGGGTATAGAAGCAACCCGGCGATAAATATGGCTTGGCCGATTCGGCCTGAAATAAATTTTCTACAATCAGAGTTTTGCTGCAGTCATTGCAACTCATTTCTCTTTCGGTGTTGATTCTCAAAACTGAAGGAAAATTCATGAAGAATTTCTTCAGATCTTTCACGGTAAGCAGTGGATTTTCGATTCGTCTCTCAAATTGTTGTAATTTATTTATCGGAAAGAAACTGATTTTTGTTTTGTTTTCTTTTTTTCTCACTCAAATGGGTGTGTTTATTGAAGAAGTTTGGAAGTGTTAGGGGTTATGCTACGCAGAGCGGGAAGGAAAGCCTGAAGATTGATGGGGTTAAAGATATAATCGCGGTTGCTTCTGGTAAAGGTGGCGTTGGCAAGTCCACTACTGCTGGTAATCTTACCCTGTCGCTTTGGCAATTTTTTTATTTTTATTTTTTGAAAAATTTTCATCAACATTTGGATATATGAAATGGTTTTTTTCTCCAGATGATTACTTATGGCTCGATAAGAAAATTTGATGATTATGTTAATTGGCTATTTTGGCTACTGGGTTATATAAAATTTTGTGAAATTAAGGTCTTCCGATGAACCCCATTTGTTTTTTCATTTTTTATTTTTCATTTCGATGAGGCAATGTTGTTTATTTTCAATTCAATGATGCAATGTTTTCATTTTGAGAAGATTATGAATTGGTGTTTAGGGAAAAGATGAAAATTTTCTATGTTAGAACCCCTCCCCCTCCCCCCTCATTTATTTTCCATATACATGTATGCGGGCGTGTTATGTGTGTGTACATAACAAGCAACGAAGGGAATGGAATTCAAAATTAAAAAGATTAATATGGTGACACATAACATCTATAAGTGTGCATGCATCCGTATTTTGCAAATGATCTCAGAGTCCAAAGTGGCTAATGGTGGGTTGATTCTTTAACAAAAAAAGAAAAGCAAAAAAGAAATCAGGTCATGACCAGCCAACCTGATTGGGTTTGCAAGGATCTTGCTTCTGATTGTGGCAACCTAGATTCACTCTCAGAGAATGTAGTATCTACCGAACTTGAGTACTTACGAGGAACCAATGATGACTTATAAATTTGACTGGTTTTCTTTCCCATGGTAGATGGAAAATATATCTTACAATGGATTGAATTGATGCCCTTTATTTTTTAAAGCATACATTAACATCAATGCTTAAGTTCTGTGAAGCTATGTTTTTCCTTAGATGGCAAATCGGCGTTTCAATCTAATCTTCTTAGTCTCTTGTATTCTGTTGTTTGCTTCTTATATATGCTTTTAAGTTTTTTGGGGTTATAGTGAGGGAACAGTTCTCATGTAATTGAAACATAGTTGTGGGGAGTACTGAATATTAAGTTGATGATGTACATTTTCAAATTGCTGCATCTGCAGCACTTTAAGGGGTCTAAAAGTGCGGTAAATATGGAGTTGTAAGAGTAGAAATGATATTTTAAAACTTGTCATCTCTGTAGAGATGGTTTAACACTATGTCCACATGTGGAGTTGTGTGGTTTCATGGTACTACAATTAAACGAGGCAACTTCTGATATTGTTTTTACTAATGTACAAAATTTCTCATTCATACTTGTGCAATTTGCAGTTAATTTGGCTGTTGCACTTGCCAGCAAGTGCCAACTGAAGGTTGGGTTGCTCGATGCCGATGTATATGGACCGTCTATTCCTACCATGATGAAAATTCATGAAAAGCCTGAAGTGAGTGTAGGTGATACTTTAATCATCTAAAATTCTTTGTAAGATGTTCTAGAATTTATATTCTCAATGTTGTGACATGCCCATAGTTCATATAGGTGAATTGCTTAAGGAAGTTATATATAGCAGGTTTCATATTTTAAGTTAATTTCTATTGGTAATGTTTTTTGGTTTTGACTATTTTGACACTATGATTCTTGACTTTTCTTCTCAATCCCGAGTTTGTTGATTTTGACACTATGACTTGCCCTTTCGCATCAATTCCAAGTTTGTTTGTTAAAGCTAAGTATACTTGACTGAATTCAGTAAGCCACCTATATATATATATATATATATATATATATACAAGTGCATTTTTTTTAGTGTTTGCGCATGTAATGTATGATAGGTTTCTTTTTGTTTTTTTCCTTTTTTAAACGAAGGAAATGACAATATTCATGTTAAAGAAAAGGCAAAAACACGAGGTTTGAGATTTTTTCAAAATTAAACAGGTAGATTTGGTAGAAACTAAAGAAGTTAGTATACATGCTGGTCATCCAAGGGTCTTATGACATTAGGCCACTGAATGTGTGACATGTCCACTGAACTCCTCCAATAGAATTGCTCCCATTTCAACTAGTTAAACAGATCTGCATTGGCTGCTCCATTAATTCAAGTGTAAATATATATTCTTCTTGGTGTAATAATCTCTCAGAAATCTCTTTTATCACACATAAATATCTTGAAGCGTGATATATATATTTTAATTGGTTTCAAATAGCGCTAGATATACCATGCATCTTTTATACAAGCAATTCAAACAAACACCTTATATCCCATAGACAAATTGTGAACTATCAACTCAGACAATTTTCATTTTTAATACAAGGAGGACAAATTGCTAACTATTAGTAGATCAGTTTAAGTGAGGTTTTGATTCAAGTGATCTTCTGTAAAAGACATTGAGAATAATATATTCTGATGTTGCTACACCCACCACTGGATTAATAAACTAAAAGTTCCATTTTGGCCATAGATAATAGCCAAGGAGCAAAAGAAGAGTAAAAGGTTCAAGAAATGAGGTAGGAAAGTAGTAAATCAGTAACTGTGCCAATTAGTAGCAGTATATTTGTGTGTTTATACTTTATTGTATTGGGAGCTGTAGAATTACCCTGCTGGATGACCAAAATTTGTTTGTGATGTCAATTACTTGGCTAAAGGTAACTGAGTTGACAAAGAAAGAAGGTAGAAAAAGCACACATGCCAGAGGTATGCGTAGATCCAGTTGATGCAACCTTGTATGTTTTGGTGTCTCAATATGTTGTTGTTTTCAACACATTCAAGTTGCATCGGAATATATTGTTTGTTGAAGGATTTAAATATTTAAGTTACACCCTCTCTAACAGCTTAAGCTTTTGGAGTAGACGGTTGTTAACATGGTATCAGAGTAAAGGTCTTGATTTCAAACCTCATCGTGATAATTTAAAATTGAAACACGTGTTGGACCAAAAGAAGGCCACACATGAGGGGGCGTGTTGAAGGATTTAAATATTTAAGTTACACCCTCTCTAACAACTTAAGCTTTTGGAGTAGATGGTTGTTAACATTGTTGTTTCAGTTAAATGATCAAGTTTTACCGGTTGAACTGCCTGCTCATATCACTCGTGTTTTTTTTTTTTTGTAACAAATTGTAACATGTTTCTTTTAATGTACATATGGCCATAATCGCTTGCTTTAATGTCAAGTTGGTTCTGGATTTTATGTAGCTGGTAACCTTTGTGGTCTATTCTTTACTGCTTTGAATCTTGACTAGCCTTGGGATATTTTAAACAGGTAAGAAAATGATTCCTATTGAAAACCATGGAATCAGGTGTATGTCAATCGGATTTCTTGTGGAGGAAGATGCCCCAATTGTGTGGAGAGGTCCTATGGTATTTATTCATCATATTTTACTGTATAAGTTTGTCTTTGTTCTTTTAGTACTTGTTTTTTCACACTTTTTTTTTTTTTTTTCAAGTGCAATCGAACTACTTATGTTTGTGAAGTGCTGGCCGTTTAGAAAGATTCAGTGATTGATCTTATTTAGGCTAATGTGGTTATACTGATGGGTCTAAAAGGGCGTTATTATAAAATTTGTTGCTTTAATTGGAATTTGATATATTTTTGTTCATTTAGGTGATGAAAGCTCTTGAACAGATGACAAGGGGGGTTGATTGGGGAAAACTTGATATACTTGTGGTGGATATGCCCCCTGGCACTGGTGATGCTCAGATTTCCATTTCTCAGAGGCTGCAATTATCAGGTAGGTAAAGAATATAAACATAGTTTCAGAGGTTTTGAAGTTTCACTATGAGGAACAGCTTGGCGAGGCTTAAGTAAAATGCCACGAAGCACACTATGGCTTAGAGAAGTTCACATTATTCGAAAAACTTGAAATGCAAACCTTGCAACCTGGCCAAATATCAGAGGACTAATTCCTTCTTTTCGATTTTCCACGTCTATTCAACTTGCAAATAGGACTTCTTTTGCAGTTACCTCGTTCTGGGTTTTGTAAACTTACACCACCTTTAAGTAACATTTAATATTGTCACGGATTGATGTTTCAGGTTATGTAGTGACAGTTTAATTTTAACATCTCTCTGTCCATCCGTCATTAACTTTATTTGTATGAATGGAGAATTTAGCTTGAGTTTGTGGTGACATAATAGCCATACATATTGAAACTCAAATAATTGGTCATACTCACATTAGAACAACAATGAATCATTAATAAATTTTAGATGAGTTTGTAAACATTTGAAGGTTAAAGAACATATCTTTCAAAGTACATAAACACACTAAAAATGGGGAGTTGTTCTGCCTTAAAACTACAAAAAATAAAACAAAGCAGATTTGATTTGTTTCATTCTCCGTCTCAGGTGTGAGACAGGAATAACTTACTTATCTGATTTCAGCCCTTAGGGTTTGTAATAATTGCTCTTTTGTAAATACTAATTCTTGGTTTATTGGTAGGTGCATTGATTGTTTCAACTCCTCAAGACGTTGCGTTAATGGATGTTCGAAGAGGAGTGAATATGTTCTCTAAAGTCGAAGTTCCTGTATGACCATTTCTTCTGCATGTTATCTATATATGTTGGTAATTAGTAATTACATTGAATATTATGTAGATATTATCTAAATTAGAGTTGCATAAAATGGATTAGGTTCTGCTGATAACATTTATAATATCAGGCTTTAATATAATTGCAATGTTCATGTATGTATTAGTTAGATACCATGTGACACAGGAAAACTCCAAAAATTTCACACTGAATAGTCTTCTCTTCCTCAAATATTTCTATGGAAGGTTCTGCACTTGTATTGGGCATACTTCTTGTATTTGATTTGTATAGAAGAAAAGAAAAAGAACAGTTGATTCTATCTGCTATCTAAACACAGTTTCCAGAATCTAGAAACTTCAACTTTTGTCGAACTCATCTCACACTTGTAGGTGGTTTCCTTTTGGCGCATGCATTCATGGTGTAGCATCTATGTCCGTTGTGGAATGCTAAGAGTTGACATCTGTAATTGTGAACTTGCTATTATCTAACCTCTTTTGTAGTTATATTGATTTTTTTATTTTTTATTTTTTTAAATTTTAATTTTTTTAATTTGGAAATATTTACTATTCTTTTCATGACTAATATGACACATGATTCCTATGAATACACCTGTTGACTGAGACTATAGCCTTAAGTAAAGCGGAATGGAAACATAGGATTCATGTAGCCGACCCCAAGTAGTTGGGAAAAAGGCTTGGTTGTTGTTGTATTTACTATTCTTTTGCTATGTTTTTCTCTTTTATAAAGCAGGTGGGTTTTTATTTTATTTTATTTATTTATATATATTTTCATGCGCTGTATATCTTCCTCCTTTCCCTTATCCCATATGGAGGGATGTTACATGAATTCTCTTTTTCCATTCTTATCTATTGCAAGTCATGTCTCCTATTATATATACACATACACACACATATATTTTAAATTTCAAAAATTATTGTTAATTATTTCATCCCATATGAGTTTTGGTCCGCCTCTTTATCTCCTATCTTCTATGCAAACAGATCCTCCTTTTTAACTGTTGTATACCACTTGTGATTTTATTTTCATGCTTTTTCCTTTTAAGGTGTTTTATTTTGATGTTTTGTTCTCCATGGCGGAATTTTTTGAGGAGAACTCATCCATGACTGGTGATTCCGTATTTTCCAAGAGATTCAGGTCAAATCGTGACTCATTTAGTGGGGTGTGGTACATAGTACTAAAGATTGACTTAATTTTTCCAATAAATAAGAATGACCAGACAAAATAATTGGTTGGTACTGTCTCTATGGATTATCAAATTGTTACCACTTGACTCAGACTCGAGAGTTCTTGATCAACCATCCAGCACTCTAATATATATTTCATGTCAAGTGAAGGGTCATACTCCTTTTCCATAGTAGCGTGGTCAGTTTACAAAGAAATTATTCCTGTAGAATTTTAAGGGACGCAAAAGTGGGCTTTAAAGAATCATTGCTCTATTGCATGTGTTTTTTTTTTTTTAATTTGAAACTATTTACTATTCTTTTCATGACTAATATGAACATGATTCCTATGAATACATCTGTTGACTGGGTCTATGGCCTTAAGTAAAGCGGAATGGAAACATAGGATTCATGTAGCCGACCCCAAGTAGTTGGGAAAAAGGCTTGGTTGTTGTATTTACTATTCTTTTACTATGTTTTTCTCTTTTATAAAGCAGGTGGATTTTTATTTTATTTTATTTATTTAAATATTTCTTCATGCGTTTTATATCATCCTCCTTTCCCTTATCCCATACGGATGGATGTTACATGAATTCTCCTTTTCCATTCTTTTCTATTGCAAGTCATTTCTCCTATTATATATACACATACACACATATATTTTAAATTTCAAAAATTATTGTTAATTGTTTGATCCCATATGAGTTTTGGTCCGCTTCTTTAAGGAATTATTGCTCTATTGTATGTTTTTATTATTTTTATTTTATTTTTTTATAAGTCATTGTTCTAGTGCATGTTGGTGATCCTTTATCCCTCTATTAAAGGACACTATTTTTTAGACTTCCACAGATATCTGACTCTCCTTGTTATGTAATTCCTGAGATCTTTGACTTCCCCTGTTACTGTAATTTTTGCATAATTATGCTTGCTTGCGCCTTGTATGTTTTTGCACCTCAAACATAATAGTCTTTGTTTTTGCTAGGTAAAATCAAATTAATCAAGCACAAAAAAAGCACCAACGTAGTTGCAATCAACCATAGGCAGAGCATATGGAAGTTGAAAGAGGAAAACAGTTACCCATCAAATAAACAAAATTACCTATGAAATAAATGAAAAAGTCCTTAATGATAGGCAAAATATCCTCACATTTATATTTTATTTCGTTACTTTTACTAACAGCTTTTGCAGATGGTAATAATGTTATATAATGATATCACATTATTTTTTATCATATAAGTTTAGTTTTGCTGTTTATCATCTTTTTCTAAGAAGTCTTGCTGCTCCAACAGATTTTGGGGATCGTAGAGAACATGAGTTTCTTTAGTTGTCCGCACTGCGGTGAACCTTCACATATTTTTGGGAAAGGAGGGGCTCGTAAAACGGGTGATGACATGGGATTGAGATTTCTTGGTGAGGTATGCTTTCTAATTTGATCTTCAGGATAGCTGGTTATAATATGTTAGTTGGCTGTTTTTTGAAATGAAGTTATTGTAACCTATGCAAGTTGTTGGTGACACCACTAGGAAATTGTACGTGTCTAATCAAGAGCCATATCGCGCGATCCATGAGAGGGTTAATAGTATGGAAGTTGGGAGGGGAAGAACATGTCTCACAGGATTAACCGTGCTTTAATTCAGTTTTACGCCTCCATCTCTCTTGTCCGCCCATGCCCCTATTTCCTCTGCCAAACACCAGGGAGGAAGAGAGTGAGTTAGCAACCTTCCTCAAATTCCATTTTCATGATTTGGTGTTCAACATGTGATTTGTTGCTAGAATATTAGTATGTGTTTGCACATTTGTGGGCCTGTGTGTGTGTGCATGTGCATAAACCCTACTGCACTTGCTGCCTTTTCCCATGGATGTTCCTTTCGTTCCATGGAGTTCCTCTAGGAAGCTCAAGCTCAATCTTTACCCAGATATTTAGCATGGAATTGATGCGTTTAAATTGGAATTGGAGAAAAATTAATTTAACGTTTGAACTAATTTTTCTCCAATTCTAATTCCAAGGCACCAATTTCATGCTTCCGAACATTTTTTAAATTCCTTTTTCCTCTTATATTCCACCACAATAAAGGCTGTCTGTCTTCCGCTGGAGCATGTGACTTGGTTTACGGGAGCTCCTTCATGGAAGCCTGCTAAAAAATCTTCTGTCATACTTTTTTGTGTTGCTGCTAATATCATCGCCTTGGATACTGTTCTTGCAATTATATACAGAATTTTTAATGCATTATTATGTTATAGTCAGTCTGTTCTTTTACTGTTTCAGATACCACTGGAGATGGAGATAAGAAGTAGCTCTGATGAAGGATTCCCAATGGTAATATCAAAGCCTGATTCAGCGGTCACCAGAGCATATGGGGATGTGGCTCAAAAGATTGTCAGCAGACTCGAAGAATTGGCCAAGCAACAACAAATTCGACCAGAGATAAACCTGTAAAACCTTGCTCTTGTTTCCTAAGCCGTTGGCCATGAATTTTGCTCGGTTTTTCTTCTGTATTTTAGACTCAGTATGTCTAGAGTTTTGCTTGTAACTTTACAAAGAAAGCGCAGAGCTGGTTAAATGAAACAGTTGTTTGAGCTTGCCTCAATGACTAGTTGAGAACTTAAGATGTGAAAAGATTTTGATTAATGCCTAGTGTGGGGATTAGTCTAGATGGTATGATCTCTGAGGATGGTTGGTAACCCAAACAAAAGGACAAAAGCGAATTGCTCACAAATAATAAGTAAAAAAGACTGGGACTGTTCAACTTGATTGATTTTATGGCTTTGGTTCAAGCCAGAACAGAGTTGTTTTTCACAAAAAGGCAGAAAACCAAATGAAAGTTATGATCATGATAGTTATTTGTGTCAATTTCTTACTTTAATTTACTATTAATAAAGTGTAATTTCAAGTAAGATCCAATTGATATTCGAATTGCATGGGATGTCATTTTGAAATAATCAAAAGCTTCTTTAGAATATTCATTATTTTTTTTTATGAGAATTAATAAATTAAGAAAAGTTGAATATATATATATATATATATATATATATATATATATACTAGGAAAATTAACGTGCGATGCATGTGATGAAAGAAATATTTTATAAAATAAATAAATTTTATATAAAACTCAATTTTTTATTTAAAAAAAAATTTAAATTAAAAATTAGAAGATTTCATAAAGGAATCAATTCATTCTACAAATCATGTATATAAATTAATCCAATCATATATGAATTGCGTTTTTCACATTTTATTAAATATTTTATTGATTGATTATAATCAATTACTTTTATCTATATGTTTATAATGTTCAATAATTATCATGAATATCTTTATCTTGGCTCTTTCGTTCTTTCTATTTGCCACCCAGGTATTTCTTTTATCTTGGCTCTTTCTTTCTTTCTATTTGCCACCCAGGTATTTCTTTTATCTTGGCTCTTTCCTTCTATTTGAAATATTTTTAGGTGTGTGAAATATTTCGTTGCATTATCTTTGTGAATTTTAAATATTGTTGGTCGATATGAATGACTATAGTGTTGTAACCTTTGTTGTATTTGATTTGAGTTTGTGGGTTTGTCATATTATATGGATCGTTTTCATTTATATTGAAAAAGAGGTTTTGATTCTTTTATGATTATTTTGTGTTTTAAAATGCTCGAAGTTTAATTAATGGTTTGCTCAATGCAATATTATGTATTTGTTGTAAGTGTTTCAAATACTAAGTCCTCTTGTTTCAATGTAAGGCCTAATAAAAATACTTATTAGTTAGAAACCGTTTGTTGAAATTAGGAAATGATTTTTGGTTTGGTTATTAGTATCGCTTTGACCAATATGTTTTAGCTCTTGATCATTTTATAATGGATAACTATGTTTGACATAATAATTGGATTAATATATTTATTTTTTAGATGATTAGTTAATTTTCCAGTTTGAAGTGAAGGCATTTTATAAAGCTTTATAGTTAGCAAACTCATTTTGGAAAAATTCAAGGAAATATAAGCAAGAGTTTATTCCCGGTTCATATAATAATTTTAAGGAAAATTTTTGGTATTTTTCCTTAGATTGAAATTATATACATTTGAAATCAAAATTAGGAATGGTGGTAGTTCATAAAATAAAAATGGTTTTATTTTTTATTTTTATTTTTTATCTATTCCATCACTTATATATATATAACCCATCACCTCTATTTTCTTATGATTTATATTTTTCCATTTTTGTTGATTAATAATTTCATTATGTATTCAAATAATACATGAAGTGTTTTCAATATTGATGGACTCTTCTTTTATTATTTTTGTTTTCTCTTTTTTTTTTTTGGGTAGTACCTTGTCCTTCAAAAATAATGATTCTTGATTTATGTGCTATATGCATACACACACACACACACACATATATTACTAAAAAATAAACATGACAAGTGAAATCATATCTAAACTTTAGAAGTCCATCATAAGTAACCAGAAAAAATAAAATCTTCCGGTTATAATAACACAATAAAACAAATACATTGAACATATAGAAAGATAGTAAAAAATAAATAAATAAAAATATAGACAATCAACTATTACCTAAGGAACTCATTTAGATGATCGGACCAATTATACAAACTTCTATTATCATAAGGCTTACCGCCCTTTTTACATTTCGTCCTTACAAATATTCATTTATGAATTTAGTCAAATGTTCATCTAAATTGTTAGTAATAAGAAATTACTCCGTGAAACAATTATGTGTAGCTTGGTAAATATCAAAGAAACAAATGAACAAACACTATAATAAACACAAATAACACATTAATCAATAATAAATTCAAAACACTTTTTATAGAGGGAGTTGAAAAAGTTCTAAAGAAGATGAACTAGAGTTTAATGATTAATTTAATAAAATGGAGGAGTAAATATAATGTTAAATTTTGATGAGATAAAAAAAGAAAATTAAGAAGTTCATTGGGTACGCCATCTCTAAATTTTCTATTAAATAATATCTTTAAATTTTATATCTTGACTAAAAAATAGTAAAAATGTATAAATAAATAAATGAAATTGGGAAGTTGATTTGGTGTTTCCTTCAATTTCCCCATTAAACATTATCTTTAATTTTTTTATATTTTGTTTTAAAAAATAATAAAAATATTTAGAAATAAGAAAAAATAACTTACACGTTTAAAAGTTCTTTTTCTAATTTGTGCCTTTTAGTGTGATTAATGTATAGATATATATTTTTATGACTAAAAATAATAAATAATAGCATGTTATAATCCAAATAAACATATTTGATAAGAGATGTAAAAAACTCAATTCACATATAGCTAAACTTAATTAGAGTAAAGTATTTTAAATAAATATACTTTATAAACATGTATGTAATACTTTACTAATTAAGTTTAATACTTTACCTCCAACTATAGGTATGTAATAATAAATAAAAAGAGAAATAAATAAATCTAATTAACAAATGAACTAATAAATAAAAGCAACACATAACTAACAAATTCAATATGTACTCCAATCTTGTGTGCGGTGAAAAAATAATACAATTGGAATCATTCATGAACTAATTCATGAATAGAGGGAAAAAAAAGGAATTAATTCACAAACAATTACATTATAATAATTAAAAAATTATTTACTACAATAAGAAATACCAAACAATTTCTAAATAAAAAACATACTTTGTATCCATGTATATATATATATAAACACACATACTTGTTCAATTATCTTGGAAATAACTAAAATACTTGTATTAGTTGTGTTGCACTCTTTGAACTTTTATTAGACACAACTAATTTTCCCTTGGCCTTTGATGTTTGTACATTCTTTTTTAAAATAAAATTTATTTTCTTTGCCTTTCCTTTCCACAAGATATATATATATATATTTAATGTTAAAATATTGTTATTTTGGCTTTAAATGGGAGATACGGTTTCTACAGATTCTTTTGTAGAGTCCAAATAATTTGTATTTTTATTTTAGTTCTTCATTTTTCGTTCAATGGTTGATATACCTTCTATGACATTTTAAATATATATAAAAAAAAAACTTAAAAATTATACGACTATCGAATGCCTCCGCATAACTTCTAAGTCTATGAAATATCAACATTTGATATAAGAATTAAAACTCTTCCAGATTTTTTGGAACCCAGAAAAACAGTGTAAAAAAATCACAAAAAAATAAGATATATAGTTCAAACCATTAACATTTAACAATCAACAGGACAAATAGCCAGAAATGATTTAAGTTCTATATATATATATATATATATATATATAAAACATATTTAGGAAATGCTAAGTAGACACATGAGTTACTTACAGATTCATCACTAAATTTCATGTATGTTTGTGACATTGCAAGGAGAACAGAACATCACCAACAAAACCTGAAAATAAAGAAGGAAAAAAATCATAAATTTGCATTGAAGCAACATTATAGATACACAAACGAAAAAAGGATGAGTATGCGAAGTGTAATACATGCCTTGTCCAAAAAGAGCTTTGCAGGAACTGTGTCCATTAGAATCCCTAACAATTGAGCAAACCAATTCATTGCAATAATTCAATTCAAATATTTGATAAGATATGAACAACTGTATTAAACTGGTAAAACATTTAGAGCGTTTAAAAAATAAAACAACAATAACAACAACGTTACAGCTTAAAGATTAAAGAAAGATGCTTACCTTACATTGCAATAAAATCTCATAATCAACACTTTCTAAATTTAATGATTTTACAATTTCCATAACAAGAAAAATAATTTAAATTAATATTAAAAATTGATAAAGTAGTGAAAAATATATTAAATCCATCTCTTTGCACTGAATGTTTTAGAATGAGATCATATTACTTTTTCTTTACTGTCAATCAAGATCTAATATAACAATAATAGTACCTTTTTTGGATTTGTATCTAAACCACATGTTCCATTGCTCCTTGTCCATCTTGTTTTATCACCTGTTTATAAAAAGAAAATATATATTTAGTTAGTTTTGCAGAAGATTTGTGTCATTTGGAGATATCAAGAAAACGAAACGCTTTGGATTAAGATGGTTGAGGAAAATAAAAATATTAAAAACTATATTTAATTTTGCTCAAAGCCTTGTTTGTGTCCTTTGGAGTGTCCACAATAAATGCAAGCAATTTTAGTCTTTGTGTCCTTTGGAGTGTATAGGATAAGAAATAATATTAATAACTATAATTAATTGCAATTGATATTTATAGTGAAAAGTACATAAAAAGAATAAAAAATTTTACACTTCTATGGATAGTGTAAATATATAGATTTTAAAGATAGTATACCTCGAGTAAAGTTGCCAACAAAGTAATAATTGTATTTGGAAACTATTAAAAATATCTGATTTTTTCTATTTACTGAGAACTCCTGCACAAAAAATGGGATTTTTTATTTGGAATATTGTGGATTGGGCATGGAATTTTTGGGGTGGGCTGTTTTTTAAAAAATGGGACGAAAAATGTTTTTATTTTTTATTTTTTCGGAATATTGATTAGGGTATGTGTGTTTAACCTTTAGAAAGACATTTAAATTCAAAATTGTTAAAAATGTATAGAAATAATAAAAAATATATGCAGTCATTAATCATATATGACTATTAGATTTTTTTAACATTTATATGTAGAGAGA